GGTGTGTTGATTCTTTGAATATCAATTAATTAAGGTAAAACTGCAGTTTTTGAGCGATTTTGTCATGTCCTTGCTACTCTCATCATTTACCCTCATTATACTGCAGTTTCTTAGCCGCTTTAAGAGTACAGACTTTAGTTTTTGTGACATCTAGTGGCCAAAAGTATGTATTGTTTCTGTCCTAAAACAATGTGGTCATGTTGGTTTGGACTGGGTTCATTCTGCCATAAACAACCTGCCCATAGTACTTTTTCAAATTTACACAAACAACAGTAACCAGAAATTATGTTCATTATGAGGCTTATCCATCCATTATCAGGGGTACATTTTTTGTTATACTTATACTTGTTTGTTAAATAATCCAATTGTTTCCACAGCATACCCAAAAGTGTGCAAAATCCATTCAATAGAAAGCACAATGAATGCTCCAAAGATTGCTGAAATATTCAACTGAAAGTAAACATTTGATTTGATTTACATCTATATAAATAAAATTGAATTCATTATTTTTATAGCGGTGTAATACACAAAAATGTGTCAACGAAGAAATACTACACATCTGAACAAGCGTGTTTGTTTATTGCAGGGGTGGGGGATTCTAGGCCTCAAGGGCTGGTGTCCTGCAGGTTTTAGATATCACCCTGGGTCAAGACACCTGAATCAAATGATTAATTTATTACCAGGCCTCTGGAGAACTTCAAGACATGCTGAGGAGGTCATTTAGCCGTTTAAATCAGCTGTGTTGGATCAAGGACACATCTAAAACCTGCAGGTCATCGGCCCTCAAGGCCTGGAGTTCCCCACCCCTGGTTAATTGAGTCTATTCACCAGGGATTTGAGGTTTTCTGTCTAACTGATATGGAAATCTGAAGTTTGAGTTTGATAATGAGCTTTCTGTTGGCTGATGTCATCAAGGATGAATACAGCTGACAAACAAAGAAACATTACTGACAGGACACATATGAATATGAAGCCCTTCTCTCAGGATCAGCATCATGCCAAGCCCTGTACTGGTGCTGCTTTTCAGTAGATGATAAAATCATTGCAAAAACAGAGTCTGTACAATTCTAAAAAGCTTTAAAGTCAATATTTGGTTTGACCCTCTTTATTCCTCAAAAGAGCCTAAACTCTCTTAGACAACCTTTCTTGTCATTTCTTTAAGCAGTCTTTGGGAATAGTACTCCAGGCTTCATGAAGAACATTCAAAGCTCTTTATTTGATGTTGGCTGCCTTTTGTTCTGTTCTCTGTCAGGATGAGCTCACACTGCTTCAGTAATGTTGAGGTCTGGGTTCTGGGGAGAACAATCCATATGTCCAGTGTTCTACAGCATGTTTTTCTATACAGATATGCTTTTACTGCAGTAGTGCTTTTGGGATCATTTGCTGACAAATGAACCAGATTGTACTGGATGGTAGATCAAAAATCTGACAGCACTTTTCTGTGCTTGTAAATAAATACATTTTTACAAGATCCCCAACACCACTGGCTGAAATGCTGCCCAAACCATAACAGAGTAGTGTTTAACAGATGGCTGTCGACTCTGTTGCCCACTCTCCTGAACTCCTCTATACATGCATGCAAATTATCTTCAGTAACAAAAATGAAACCTGTCAAAATCTGTTATGAACCCTGGAGCGTTCTTTTTTAAACTTATTTTCATTTTTTGGGAAACAGACAAACTATTTTTTTTATTTGAAGTATATCGCCCAACAGAAGCTCAGTGTGGGAGTGGGATCCCTTTGTCCGCCTCTCTCTTTATCTCTGTTTCCCAAAGGCCCTCCCAAAGTTAGCAGTGGCATCCTAAACCCTGGAAAAAAAACTGTATGTGTGTGTGTGTGTGTGTGTGTTGAATGCTTAGTTTGTGTGGACAGAGTGTGCACTGTCTTGAATACAAAAGGACATCTTCACAGGTTCAGCACAGGCACGCTGCTGTTTTTGCGGGATACTTTTTCTTGCGACTGCCAGCCTCAGGTAAAATCCTAATTTCTGTGACACACAGAGTTTCATTTCTCATTTATTTTACCTTTATTTATACAGTTAGTTCTACTGAGGCTCAATGTCTTCTTTACAAGACAGACCTGTTTCAGACACACATATTGAAATTACAGCAATAAAAGAACCAATAAAATAGCTGGAATTAATAGTGCTTTGCAACTCCATTTATATATAGCAAAACAGTAATGTGCGTTTGACATTCATCTTGTTCACTAACTAGTTACTGCATTTAAACTATTGCTTGCTGTATGTGCGACTGCTGGCTTGATTACTTAGGGCCACAGCTTTATGCTGGTGAGCTATTGATGGCGATGCTTTGATACTTTTGCAGAAAGTGGTAGCACTATTTAATATGTGCTCCATATTTGGAAGTACTAATTTGGTGCATATAATTTAGAGAAATATCATATCTAAATGTTTTTATAATGTCTATTAATTTTTATTAAAGATGGCGCAATCATGTAATAGAGTAGTTATAATAGTGTCTTTGGTAACTTTTAAATTATTCAAAGTATAAAGACTAATTTATTGCTTTGGTGTGTACACCTTCTCCCCAGCATTACTTTCACATCTCAGAACTGTGCTGAGAGCTATTTTACCAGACAGACCCATTAATATCTTTGTCGTTGGGCTCCAGACACACAAAAAGTTTGTGGACTTAGTCAAATTTTTCCAGTCTGGTAGCTTCTGGTGTTTACTTTAGCTCTGAATGTGACTTTTGAGAGCGAGGTGCATATCAGAGGCCTGTAACCTTGGCGATAGTGGAGGCTGGGCCCACAGCTCTGCTCGTCATGAATGTGCTGGCAGCATACAGATGCATTCAGTTGTTTCCACTTTGAAAGATGTGCCAAGTTCACATCTTTGTTGTGAAAAAGCCAGAGTAGAATGTATTGATAGCTTATGAACAGCTTTTTAGCCTTTAGTGTAATGTTTTTCTGAAATATTCAATTCTGTAGTGGTTTCAAAATCTAAAAACTTACATGTTATCCATTTTTAGACAATTTATCCAAGGTTTAAATGATTCACTTTGATCTTACAGGTATGAAGGCCTGCTTAGTATTCCTTTGCTTACTGGCAGCAACATTTGCTCTGTCTGTGAGTAGTAAAGATATTCTTCTTCTTAAATCAATGAGTAAAAATGATCAAAGACAATATGATAATGTGTTCACCATACAATAAATATTACAGATGTTTCTCATTATCTTCAGGTGAAAAGTAAACCTCATGGAAAGCATCATGGGTTGCATAAGAGTTTGCACACAACCAAAGAAAAGGTAGAGTAACATCTTCTTCATCTAGAGTTTTAAATTCTAATACTAAATGTATCGTGTCATTTTATACAGTCGATAAATAATTTTCCTTTTCTCCTGCTTCAGGATGCTACCACAGTGGAAGCCAATAAGCCAAAGATCTTACCCACTCTAGTCACATTTGAGGCCAGCAGCCAGGAGCAGGAAGACGAGGAACTGAGTTCCGAAGACAACGCTAACAAGGAAGATGGAGAGAGGGCTGAAAAGCGAGAGAAAAGCACTGCAGTTCTGTTGAGTGAAGAAGAACTGGTAGACCTCCTGACGAAAGAGGCTGAAGAGGAAGATGAAGCTGAAGTAAGAGAGCTGGAGGAGGAAGAAGTAGAAGCTGACAAAGCCAAGGTTGAGTCTAGCGAGGTGGTTGAGGTCGCTGAGGATCAGGAGAAGTTGGATGAGAATTCAGAGACAAAGAAACATTTGCTGGATGAGGAAGAAGTGAAAGAAGACAGTGTGGAAGATGTGATAGAGGAGAAGGTGCAGAAGATGACTCATTCAGAAAGGAAGGAAGAGCCTACTGAAGCAGAGGAAGATGGCAGCACAGAATCAGTGATTCCAGTCAATCTGGACTATGCTGCTGATAGTAGCCTCCTGCAACCTCTACAGACTGCATCAGCTAACGACAAAACCCACTCTGATGACACCAAGCCTACTTCAAAAACAGACATCAGAGAGAAAGAAACCAGTGGGAAAGAAATGGCCAATATCGCTGATGACTATGAACCTGGCATGCAAAACACAGAGGCAGCACACAGCGAGGAGGTGTCTGATCAGACACAGGACAAAGATTCCTCAGACCAAGACGTAAGTGCCAAGAAAGAACCTGAAGCAAATGTGGATCATCCAGAGCCAAAGGGCGATGCAGAGCTTGAATTGAGGGCCACTCTATCTGGAAAGGAGGAAGAGAAGAGTAAGAATGTGGGTGCAAGTCACACTAAGGCAAAAACGAGGAAGCAAAAGAAAAACCAAAGGTCAAGGAAGCACTCTCCGGACAGGGAGGAAACACAACCCGGACATGAAGAGGGCCGACAGGATCCTGAGTCTGAGAGCAGCAGCACTGACAATACAGACCAAAAGACAAAGAGGAGAAGGGCAGGAAAATGGGTAATGCTTGTATTACCTATATTTTCTTTCTTTACAGTAGATTATCATTATTATTATTTTGGCCGTTCAGGCATCATTGGATAAAGATAGAAAGACAGGAAAGCAGGGAAAGAGAAAGAGAGGAAGACAAGTTTAGACTCAAACCCTCTTGGTGCCATTTTAAAATCAGCCCACAGTGAAAATGTTTTAAGAACTGATAGTTAAAATTAATTATTGAGTTTAAGCTAGAGTAATTTCCTTGGTAAGGAGGTAACAGAGGACATAATCTGCCCTGCACACTGCATCTACAAATCACCTGTGTATATCTTGAAGTGGTTAAAGGAGATACATCTCCCTGTCAGTGGGCTTTTTTTCATTTGTGAAACTGACCCAGCTAATTAGCCTGCTAGAGATCAGTGCAGTGCAAGTAAAAAAAAGATTTCACTTGCAAGTTTAAGGCTTTTAAAGCTCTCTGCACGTTTAACCTTTGACAGCATTGGCAACATTTAGCAGCACTAATCAGCCCAAAGTTTACAAAAAAGCTGATATTGCAGTTTTCATTGGGGCAACTTGACCTTTGTTTTTTCTCTTTCTATAGTACCTTCACGTTATTACTAATATTATTAGTACTAGGAGGAGGAAAAGGAGAAGGATTTTATACATGCATGAGTCTGCCTTTACACGTCTTTTTGTACTTTCCCAGGGTCCTTTAGTTGGTGTGAATCCGGTGCAGATAAGAGCCGCAGCCGAACTGTACCCAAGGTCCAGGCCCTCTCTTGGCGGAGACATACAACTCCCAGAAACCCCTACTGGTTATTTTTTTTCTGTTGATTGTTTCTGTTGAAGGCTTCCTCCTTAGCCTTCTGTGACATGATTACTGGTATTTCTAGGTCCATTAATAAAGCCAGATACTTTCTGTAAGTTGACAGTTATGTAAGCAAAAGATGATATGATATTTTATCTTTATCATGATAAGATAAAGATAAAAGGAATTATCAACATCTCTAATTTAACACAAGACTAGAAATAAATGTAAATAATACAGGCTGGTGAAAGGCTCCACTTCAAGGAAGTTTAACATTGTTTTAAATGTAACGTTATCGTTCATATAACGTGTTATTCTTACAGTATAGAACTGCTGAGTGTCTGGTCAGCAGCAGCATTCACTATATACTGACTAATACACCATCCGAATAGTCTCACATGAAGAATCTGCTGACTGAATCATTTTGCTTAAACTTCCGCATGAATAGTGCCTCTCTGCTTCACAGTCACTACCAAAACACAGCTCTGCAGGCTTAAAAGTGAATAAGAGAGATCAAGTCGAATTTAATCGCTATACCAACTCTATACTAAAGGAATGTAGAGGATGATGTGAGCTTATTGTAGCGTACTGGGCTCTATTGCAAGAAAAACTTTAAAACAAGCTAGGAAAATAAATAATTTATCTCACTGTTTCTAGAAATCAGGTGAAATATGGGTCAGAGATCCAACCGGTGTTTGTGTTTTCTTAAAGATCCATGTGAAAACTTCCGTTGCAAACGTGGAAAAACATGCAAACTTGATGCGGACAATAAGCCAGGGTGTGTGTGTCAAGAACCGTCAGCGTGCCCTCCCAGTGTGAATGAGTTTGACTATGTAAGTATGTTGATGCCTATAAAAGAAATGTCACACTTACATATTGTTATTCATTTATGCTCATACGTTTTATGTGATGCTCTGTGGTTGTGACACACTTGTCTGCAGCAGCCTTGTGAAGCTTTCATATTGTTTATTGAGGAGAAAAAGGAAAAAGTACAGATGTCATTGTGGGCATTTTGACTTAATTGAAAGACAAAGCAGAGAACACTTTTGTTTTAATATTAGCTCTCACTACCCTGCCTGTTATGGTGAGCCAGCAGGTATTCTTTTCATATTATTTGACCCAGATTGCTTGTTGTGAGAAGGTCAAGGGTCTGATAGTAGGCTGAAGGTGAGCTGTAAACCACAAATATGGAATTTTATCTTTGTATTGTGTCTTCCTTTCCTCACAAGTCCTGCCTGCATAAACTCTTCGAGGACAGTGGCTAAAAGTTGGTCTTCTCTCTTCATTTATTTAAACACTTTTGTTTTTGTTTAGGTTTGTGGGACAGACAACAAAACGTATGACACATCATGTGAACTCTTTGCTACTAAATGCAACTTAGAGGGCACTAAGAAAGGACACAGACTTCACCTAGACTACACTGGGCCATGCAAATGTGAGACTGTATTTAAACACTGTACAAACTGTATAATTTAGTATGGTGAAGAAAGAACTAATTAAAACATCTGATGCTTTTTTTCTGTCCTCTCTGTCTCAGTGATACCTCCATGTGTGGACAATGAGCGGGTGCAGTTTCCTCTACGAATGAGAGATTGGCTCAAAAACGTGCTGCTCCAGCTCTACGAACATGACTCCATAACTCCTGGCTTCCTCACTCCTAAACAGCGTTTCAGAGTAAGGCTTACTACTCCAACAGCTCTTTACAACTACTGTGTTTAAGTGACTGAAACCAGCCAAAGTGTGGTCTCCTGTATTCTTCAGGTGAAGAAAATCTTTGAGAGTGAGAGGCGCCTTCATGCAGGCAATCACTCTGTTGAGCTTCTCGCACAGGACTTTGAGAAGAACTATAACATGTACATCTACCCAGTACACTGGCAGTTTGCTCAGCTGGACCAGCACCCATCTGATAGGTACATTTTTATACACTGGTTTTGCATATAGTATCTTCTTTAAAAAAAAGCTAGCTAGTTAGGGGTTATAGAACCCCTAACTAGCTAGGGGTTATAGAACAATATGGAAAGATATATATGTCACAGATGACCGACAGACTGTAAAAAACACATCCTTAATCACAAAGTTATAAGAAGACGCTTCTTTTGGCTGCTCCCTTTTCACACGGGGTCCCCACAGATAGCACCACTTGATTTGGCAGCTTTTTCCACCAGATACCCTTCCTGTTTGAACACCAAAGGGTATTTGCGCCTCTTCATGCTCTCTAACCAGAGACCTTGAACATGTCAGGTGAATGTGTAAACCCCTACTCCAGGGGTCGGCAACCCTGGGAAGGGTTAACTGATGGCACGACCATAGCTGGACTGGCCAGTGTTTGTTTTCATTCAAAGGCTTTATGGCTTTTCCTATAATACCTGGTGGGCCGGTCTCTAGTCAAAATGCCCGGGCTGTTTTTTTGTCCCAGTCCAGCCCTGGGCACGACACGCAGTGAATTAATCTGAGAAGGTGCATTAAAAAATGAATGGCCAGGCCAGTGGTGCACATCACAAATTAGCTTGCATAGACACATTAGTTGTACTGCTTCTTAATGACGGTATCTTAGCTAACAACCCCAACTACCAGATTCAACTTGTAATTGGCTAAAAATCACTTAGCCTACTGGTGAGAGGGACGTTGCTAGCGGTTAGTTTTTTCAAGCGATGTTGAAATTTCCACATTCCGAAAATTCAAATGCTTCAGGAGCTGCAGCAACTGTTAATATAGAGCGTTATTAAATTTATTGCTAATGCAATTATATGGCACATTGACTTCTGAGGAAAAATTGAATAGGCAAAAATAACTGTAACAAGTAAGCAAAAGCAAATCAAAAGTATTCATATAGCACCTGTCTAGATAAGAATAGCAAAGTGCTTCACAAGAACAATCAACAAACAAAAACCCAACTATTAAAACACATTAATAATATCTACTAGTTAAAAGCAAGCTTATAAAAATATGTTGTGAGCTGCTCTTTAAAAGTTTCATGCACAGATCTCAAATGTAGTGGTGTCCTTTAGTTTTCAGTCCAGAACAAGGACCCACAAACGATTTTTGGTCTAAAGGCTTCAATGACCTGTAACAACAATAACAATAACTAGTATGTTAGGAAAACACGTAGTCATCCTGCGCACTCTGTTTACTCACAGTGATCAAAAACATTTCTTTTTCCTCTACAGGTTTTTGTCCCACTCAGAGCTGGCCCCCCTCAGGGTCCCCCTGGTGCCAATGGAGCACTGCACCTCTCGCTTCTTTCAGGAGTGCGATGCTGACAAAGACAAACTGGTATCATTTAAGGAGTGGATCACCTGTTTTGATATCAGGAATGGTGAGAGGTTCATCGTTTCTTATATTTGTGAGAAACCTTCCCATAAATGATGTAGTACGTTCATGGTCAAGGCCTATATAATTGCATAGATAGTAGAGGTTTCAGAAATGTGATGCTCCAATCTGAATATATCTTCCAAGATTTAAGATGAAAACCCAGCATGTTGCTCTAAAATATGTTCAGAATTTGATGTTTTCTGGTACTGTTAGTTGATCATTTAAATGCAAACTCTAACTCTTTGTAACTTGTCTCTCTGCAGAGGACATGGATGCCAACCTGCTTTTCTGAGTGTTGTAGCTTGAACATCTGGCTGTTGAAGTTCTGTCTATTCAAAATGATACAGTACACGCTCTGACAAGTACAGATGAAACAAACCCATGTTACCTCCCGCTATAAACAAAGCTTTGTGTAAGGCTAAGCATGGACATTTAAATCACTGATCTGTAATTTAGACTGAGCTGCTAGAACCGTCTATTAGAAGAAAGAAGTAGTTATTTTTTTGCTGGCTGTGTTCAAAATCTTTACTACAATGCATTCCAAACTGGGGCAAAGTTATTGCAGCTTGATGGTAGAAAAAACATTGTGCAGTACACAGTGCCAGGTAGTACCACAATTAGTAGCAGACAATTGCAGATTCCTGTTTGATACTAGCAAATGTAAAATAGCACCTGTATTGGCTAACTTAGTAGCAAATGTGTACATGTTTGTCCTCATATATTATGCTTCCTTACACTGCTAACTAAAGGCAATAAACAGCAAAGAAATTCACAATTTCAGAATATTTCAGTAAACTCTGTTGCTTATTGATGTTTGTGCTGAAATAAAGTCTCCTACAAAAAGACTCTGGTAAATATCATTTCATGTTCTGATATCTTTTCTTCATTCCTTTTCTTTTTTGCGTGTGTTTGTGTTACTTCATGAGATGAATAGCTCTTCAACAATGGTTTTTAAGAATGCAAGTCACTGGTAGTTGATTTTGGTTTGCCGCTTGATCCTAAATAATGGCCTGCTGTAAGGCGACAAAGCAAAAAATAACCTGCTGCTTGGTCATGATGATTACGGCATCTCGTTTTTATGAGATGAAGCATTCTGATTGGACCTTTTCTGGTGATCGCCGAGTCTGACGCCTTCTATATAAGTAAAGAAAGAAGCGGCGCTTCACCTGCTGATCATCTGCTGCTTGCACTGAGCTAAAACATGTATTGCATGCTGTGGGTTATCTTTCAGAGCCTGGCCCTTGTGGTGGAGAGTGGTGTGTCTTCAGGGAGTGCTGAGGCACTTGCCAATAGGGGAGTGAAGAACAATGGAGGACCAGGAGCTGCCAACGGTGCAAATGCTGGGGCTCAAAATGGGGTTCCACTGACTGGTCAGCCCTTTGTGGCACAAGTAGTCCAAGTTGGTAATACTTTGTTTATCCAGCCACTTGGGAACCCTGTAGGTCAGGCTCCACCACAACAACTAATTCCAGTTGCAGTTCTCCCACAAGGTGGAGCTTTTCTCATGGGCCAGGCAGGAGGAGCCACCATGAATCTGCAAGGGCCAGGGACGCAGCAAGCTGGAGGTGGGCTGTTTGCAGTGCTGCCACAGAGAAATGTCGGCGGAGGGCCTCAGAGTGTCGTGTTGACCCCTGGCCAAGTGCAGCTGATGTCAGCAGTCGGGCAAAATAACCCACAACCCTTGGGCGGTGTTGTTGGTGCTGCAAAGCCGAGCGGCAAGCTGAGGTTTCGACGGTCAGTCGCAGCTCGCCTCAGGAGGACGCAGTCTCCGGTGATGAAGACTACGCCAGCTGAAGATGAAGAAGAATGCTCTGGGGTAGACACTGAGGAGAAGCAAGTGGAATGAGACGAAGCATTTTTCACAGATTCATTGCTAAACACTGATTGTGGTTCTCCTTAATACCTGTTGACACTTTACTGTTGTAGATCACTGTAACTAATGACCAATAAATGATTGAACTCCTATTGCACAAAACAAATCTGTCAAGTCTGTCTTGAACAAAACACTGAATAAATTCAGCAGGGTCATGGGTGTGCCTCCATCTGATGGCTGTTATTTTCATATAAGAGGCTGATAAAAATACACACAGCCTTCTGTTTACAATACACAGCTTCAAGCTACTTCCAGATGGTCTCTCTTGAACATTTGAAAACCATAAATCCGTCACATCAGCATGAAATTCCTGGCACAGCTTGTTTTCTTTTGGAAAAAAAAACTACCTAAAATAATATAAATCAGATGAACAACTGCATTTGCATTAGAGAGAACCTTTTGTCCTTTAAAACTGAAAACAGAAAAAAAATAGTTTCTTAATTGTAACTGCATGACAGTGTGTAATTAGCTCCAGACCAAACTTCCACAGAGGGTGTTTACCTGGTCTGCTGTCAGCTGCAGAGTCAGCAAAAGGAAAAACATTCCCAGACGGCTTTGGTGTATGACAGAGTAACCATCCAACCAAACAGTAATGTATGTGATGGCTCTGAACATGTGCTCGTGAAACAAGCTATAGGCTTTCCGTTTTCATTTTCTTGTTAAATTTCAGAATTTTATTAATGATTAACTGATTTCCCGAGGGTCACTGTGAGTGAGTGTGTACATTGGTTGAGAGTGTGGTGTGTGGGTGGGCAAATAAAAAGTTTGTCACTGTTATAAAGTCATCACAAATTACAGTAAGGCACCCAGCCATGTCTGAGGCACTTATTTTAACTTTTAATTATAAAACAGCAGCAGGCAACATGCCATTTATACCTCTAGACATGAATCAAATCACAAGATGCCATTTATGCCTGGGTGTTTTCATGAAGTCACAAACATCTTCTCATAAACAGTCTGCATGCAGCTTGACACAGTAAAGGTGAAATGTTCGATTAAATTTAACACTATAATGTATTCTTTTAGATACATGTGGTTCTGATACCTCTACATCATCAGCGTGATTTAAAAAACACAATCCCTAAACCCAAATTTGTACTTCTTTCTGTTTAAAACACATCAACTGTGACCAACAAATTGCACAAAAATGCTGGACGCAGCAAAAAATGATACAAATTAAAACTCATACATGCAAATTGATATTTTATTTCTTTCAAAATCAAAAGAAGGTTCAATAAACACTCTAGTTTAAGAAACAATTAGAATTTTCTGGCAATTATGTTGTTGTTCAGGCTTAATGGGTAAAGCCTGAACACAAACACACACATGCACATATTTTTTACAGTGTGATCTACAAAAGCTCTTGATGACTATGATGTCAGTTGTTTGCCTCTTGTAACCACAACCCACAACATTAACGAGGTCCATGCTGGGTTTAAGTCAGCTTCCAGAAGCCTCTAGAAACCCTTCCCGCGACAATGAATCACTGCGTTATTTTTTTGTGGTCACTCAGCTCTGTCAAGAACAATGTCAGTGTGTCAACTGGCTGAAGTTTCTTTGAAAACAGGGACTTTGCTGCATTACATTTCTTTAAATCTTGTATTGTAGAGAAACCATAGATGCCATATTGCAACTTCCCATGACACGCAGGTGACAAATATAGCATGTGAATAAGGCAGTGTTCTCCTCTCTAATTGGCTCATAATAATCTCTTTGACTGATAAAAGGCGTCTTTGAAACAGAGAGTTACTGTCAGCTTTCTGGGCACATAACAGTTGAAGCCAGAGCAAAAACGTACAAGGTCTGTGTGTTTTTACACGATTCAAGGTGCAAAATGAAGCTTTTTCTCTTCGCAGCATTTGTAGCAACCCTCAGCTATGTGAGTAGTCAATCTATCTATCCATCTATCCATATGTGTATATATCTATACTAATGTGTGTATCTCATCTAAATTTATTTCAGGTCAATGCAGGCAAGGTAAGTTACAGTCAGACTATGGATGTATGCATACTTTGCACAATAATCGAGATTAGGCCACAGGCAATAAGTCTTTTTCCTGCTCCATGCAGACTGCAAGGCTGCTGGCAGCTATGAATGCAGGGATGTTGAATGGAGGACTCTTAAATGGAGGACTCTTAAATGGAGCAAACCCCGGGATGCTGGTTGGTGGTCTGAATCCACCCATTGTTGCTGGCGGTGGAGCAGGCGTTATAGGGCAGCCCCAGTTTGCTCAGGTCAGTCCACTGGATTTAAGTTTGAGCGACAATGTGACTTTTCACCGATATTTTGCAGTGAATCTAAGTAACACTTATTTTTCCTTCTCACAGTTTGTTCCTCGAGTTCCTGCTTTTGTCGTTCCAGCTCAGGTCGGCAATGTGTACCCTTTCCCTGCTGTCCCTGCAGTCAATGCGGTTAGTGAGGCACTTACTGTTGTGGTGTTAACAACACAACTTGTTGCAGGTTTAAGAGCATCATCTGTCTTGCTTCTCTAGTACCAGGTTCCTTTCATGGGAGTACCCCAAATGGCACCAATGAATGCTCCTCAGCAACCTGCGATGGTAATCAACCTTTACCTTCAGTGTGTCAGTGGTTATTGTTTGCAGAAATGTTACATTTCCTGTTTTTGTTTAGGGGAACCCTGCTGGTGCTGCTCCACAGCAGCTTCCAGTTCAGCCTGATCCTCTCGGAAGATTCAGGGTAGGAAACAATGAATCTTTTGTCTCAAAGGCTGTGCAATATGAATGAAAACTACACTGGATAAATGTTGCTCTGTGACTCCACAGCGCCAGATTATAAAAGCGGAAAACACCGTGAAGAGTACTGTGGACACTCAGGTGAGACTGCGCAAAATAAACCATAAAAAGTTTTTTAAAAAGTTACTCACAATTTGTAAAAACCATATTCTGCTAGAAAAATTACTATTTCTTTCTCTTCTTTTCTCAGATTCCTTCTTCCGCTCCTTCTGCATCACCAACAGCAGCACCCTGCAACAAGGATATTTAAGCTGACACCATTACTCTAACATTAGCTTTGAATTGAATCTACAAGAAATATTGAATATTATAACAATAAAAGTAAACTCCTGTGATTATTCATAAATTGATTACTTTTGTTAAAGTGGTTTGTTACAGTGTCTTCACTTTCTAATAAAATTAATCATACTCTAAATAAAATTTGTCTTGTATGAGTTTTATGCCATAGACCATCAGTGGATCTGTGCTGCCATCTAAAGGACATATATGTTTCATAAAACTACAACTCTAGATAGATAGTGAAGCGGACATCCATAAAATGTTATCAAAAATAACATAAAATAAGATTTTTAAAAAAGATAAAAAAAACAAAAATGACTACCAACCCACTTGCCACTAATTCCATTGATAAAGATAATACAGATATACTGAAGTCAAGGAGAATGAGTGAACACACATGATACAGCAAACATGATGCAGTTCTGAAGTTCTTTCAAACAGCTCCTCCTACAGCTTTTCAGCTTTACAAACATACAGAGACAGTTATGTCTCTGCACTATCAGCAAATTCCCAGAACTTAGAACACAAGATGTGCTGGTGTGGCATAAAAAAAGTGTTAGTTACTGGCATTATGTACAGGTGCGCATAAAACTGATGATGGTTCAGTTCAAGCAAGCTGCTTCACTTTCAGGATTGTGCAAGTTTGTTCACAGTCACACTGGTGTGACCAAATGAATAAATTTGAACCATTTGAACCATGCAAATGGATTGGATTGCAATTATGTCGCGCTTTAATATAATTCTTTACAAAACAAGTGATATTCACACCCACTTTTATTCTGTGCACACAGAAATGGGTCCATGACGGGAAATTTGGGTTCTGAATCTTTCCCAAGGACACTTTAACATGTGAGATTGCACCAGGCACATTTGAAGACTTCTTTAACTGTAATAAAATATTAGTGAGCACAATGTATAAATAAAT